GTTTCGGAATTTTTGCAAGGGCCGTCCCTAATTTTGAACTTATAGGCTGTAAAGGAAAAAAAAAATAAGTCCGATAATTTCAAACCTTCCTTCAGATTTCTTTGCGTTTCAAAAGGGTTATTGAACGATTACGAATTTGTAGCGCTTATAAATAAAATGCAACACGGATCTCCAGCAATCGGTTTGAAATGATACAATTTAACAAGTTTTGGTACTGATCGAATCTCATTCTCCGATTATTGTGGCCCAGGTGGTTAGGACTCGCAATCTGAGGGTCTCAGGTTCGAATCCCCGTCCCACCAAACCATTTCAGTCGTGGGGGCGTTATAGTGACGATCAATCCCACTATTCGTTGGTAAAAGAGTAGCCCCAAGATTTGGCGGTGGGTGGTGATGACTAGCTACCTTCCCTCTAGTTTTTCACTGCTAAATTGGGGACGGCTGGCGCAGATAGCCTTCGTGTATGTTTGCGCGAAATTCAAAATAAACCAAACCAACCGATTATAGTATCGCTAGAGTCGGCGATGGGTGCTTTTGACTAGCTTTCTTCCATCTAGTTCAACATTAGAGATGACTCTGCTCAGATAACACTTGACCCCAGTTTGGCACCTAGTAAATATTAATCACATTTATTGTGATTGTGGTTTTTATATTTACGGCTAAGGCAGAAAATATTTCTTCATTTCGTTCCTATACACTTCCAGTAAATAACATCCGGGTGTTTTTTACATCATTTTCCATTGGGGGGGAATTACGGCTGAGGCAGAAAATATTTCTTCATTTCGTTCCTATACACTTCCAGTAGATAACATCCGGGTGTTTTTTACATCATTTTTTAAGCTCTTTTCATATGATCTTGTTTGAGGCAGATTAATATCCTAGCACTCTGTTTCTTTTACCCCCTCCCCCTCCAGTAGCTCAGCGGTAATTCTGAAGGCTTATGACACTAAGAAAGCGAGTTTCGATACCCGTGGTGGGCATAGCATATATAACCCACAGTGTTGCTTTGTAATTAACTAAACACAAACAAACTGTATCTTTTTTAAATTTTTGCACGACGTCTCAGTTTGTTAATATGTTCCTCTAAAAGAAAACAACAAACAATTTATAGTTTAAATTGTGAAAGCTCACTGAGCATTAGAAAGCAGTAAGCCTAAAACTTGTGTTAAAAATCATATAAACTGCAGACGTTTTTTCCCACAATCGTCTTAGTTCATATCGAATTCAATGTCAGAGGAGTGTAAAAATAGCATATCAAATCTTCTACAAGTGGTTACTCAAGACCTTTCGTCCAAAAACAGAACTAATCCAAAATGTACAAAGTCAAAAACAGATTTTGTATATTAAATTTTAAGCCTATTAGTTTATAATGCTTCAAAAGCTGTCGGTGTTTAAATCGTTACTTTTAAAGTGGTTGGTTGTTTGTAATTAAGCCCAATGCTACACAATGGGCTATCTGTGCTCTGCCACCACGGGTATCGAAACCTGGATTCTAGCGCTGTAAGTCCGCAGACATACCGCTGTGCCACTGGGGGCCTTTTTAAAGTGTTATGTTTCATATATATATATAAGTACATTTCAGAGAAACTTTTGTCTCTCATCGTCCAACACAAATGACGAGTTATGGTACTGTACGAAAGGCCTCTTTGGCAGGGATTTTCTTATTCAGAACTACGAAGCTCCAACGATAGCTACTCGTGTTATGAGAGTCGATAAGTCTTAAAACAGTAATTATGATCTGACCATAATGTTAGTTTAGTGTGTTTTTAGTAAGTAATAATGTTATATTCTGTTTGTTAGACAAAGATATGTATCTCAACATACCCTCCTCTACATTTGATACTATGCCACTCTGAAGATAACTCATTCTTGAACCACCATGCAAACCTGGTTCCGACATGAAGTCGTTCTTGTAGTCTTATTGTGACAATAATAAATAGATAAAATCAATATTTACAACAGACTTTAAACGAGATAAATAAGTTTCGTTGAAACTAAATACTATCATGATTATTTTATCCGGTTCGTACAAAGTTCAACAGGTAAGGTCACCAGGTGGTTGCTGTTAAACAAAATAAAACGATACAATCACTTTGATAATAATGAAAAAATAATTTACATACTCCTCGGGCAATTCTAAGATGGCGTTATGTCTGGCATCGATTGTTTGTAACCTTAAATCTTTTTTACTTTCTTCTGTTGATAATGTCATCAGGTTTTTCGAAACTTGAAAATTAAATTCAACAACTAAATTAGTAAATTTTTTACTTTCTCTGTTGTTAATGTCATCAAGTTTTCGAAACTTCAAAATTAAATTCAACAACTAAATTAGTAATTTTTTTTACTTTCTCCTGTTACTAATTTAGTTGTTGAATTTAATTTTCAAGTTTCGAAAACCTGATGACATTAACAACAGAAGAAAGTAAAAAAATTACTAATTTAATTGTTGAATTTAATTTTCAAGTTTGGAAAACCTGATGACATATTGAAAAACTGATCCCAAAATATAAAATCAATATGTAATTAGACGTTATTTAATATCTGCAGAGTTAGGCCTCTTCGTCATATATGGATTATTATTTTTTCTTTCTTCGCCGCATTTACAGTTTTGTTCTGCCACCTGTTGATTAAAAATAGAACAAACAATAATTTTAACTTGGATCTGACATTTAGTTTTTTAAGTTGTAACTTAAAAGTAGATAATATATATTTTTATAATTGTTATATATTTTAGCAAAATTAGCTTTCTTGATATAAAACGTCCATATATGAATACCATGTTTTCATCTTATTTATTTATTTATTTTAAATTATTTATATTCTTTCGACTAATGTCTTGTAAAATAATTATTCAGTACGCTTTTACTGAACAATGTGTTTAGGACTGCAACTTTTATAA